AAGATATTCCTACAGAAAACAATAACTTGCTAAAAGTGTGGTATAATTTCTATCGATGGGCTGGATACTTGAAATTGCATAAGCTTGGTATTCGCATGGCAAATTTTGATTTGCAAATACATAGCTTAATAGCATTTGCTCCTTTATTTCCTATAACAAGAAAGTATAGATATGCTGAGTCTGTTGCATAATTTTTGTCAGACCTTCGTAATAAACCACAATTCCTCCGAGATCTTTAAGCAGTACCCTCAATTAATTTGACGCAAGAAGGTCATTATTTTGCTTTCGATGAGGCTCTTGAAACATTCGGTGTAAAGTTTGTAAAACAAAATATGACTGGACAAGCGACTAATTCTGAGAATTTAAAACAAAATATTAAATCAGTACAAGCGGAATCTGAAAGACTCGACCTATTAATTTCAGAGTTTGCTACAGATCAGTCAAAAAGCAAAAGCTTGCGGTCTGTCAAAAATCTGAAAAAAGCATTTTGGGAACTAATTTTTAATTTAAAATTCAGATTTAGTGGCTTGCAGTCAGAGATGTGTACTTTATTTACAGAAACTACACAATTGACTGATGAAGGTTACCAGCGAATGTTTACCTGTTACCAATTGGGAGTTGAAACAATGACCACACATGTTGCTACCAGATTAAAAAAATGGCGAGGTGAATGGGATCTTAAACCTATAAAAATAAAAAATAAAAAACGTGAAAGAGAAGTTGCAAAAAAAGCAGATAATAGTTCTATGCAAGCTTCAGAATCACATAATGCAGAGGCGAAAAAATCTGACAACGAAGATATGCCATTATCTGAAACTGGATCCGTACCTCAAACATCGTGTCCAATAAGATATAAAAAACATAAAACCACCGTTGTTGAAGAGCAAATCCTGAAACAGCTTGAAGATTATAAAGACTCTTCAGTATTAGCCTCAGATATTATTAATGAGCTAGTGGAACGTTTATCGAATTATAATGATTACTGGACATCAGTACGCATTCGATCTCGATGGTATAACTAGTATAAAAGATCGAAGAGAGTATGAGTAAAATTATTTATAATATCTGATATTCAGAATCTTAGAAGAATTCTAAATTAAATTGCTTTTTTTTTTAGCCTAGCTGAATCTTGATGCAATTGACGTTCCTATAAATGAAACCATTTTAACAACTATTTAAATTTTGAGAAATATACTGATGATAGTAGGAAAAAATCGTCTAATAATCTTCTTGCTTAGGCCATTTTGAAATTAAAAATTCGTTTAACATTCTCCTCCTTAAATTAAACAATATGAGTATGGTTTGAAAAATTTGAGGCAGTTTGGTAAATCTCAGAAAGATAAACAAACAACCAACATTAAACACGAGCTGGTTCAGTTTAAACAACTTGAACCTAAATTTGGATCATTCAAACCTCGTTTAAATACTGTTTTTGTTTAATTCCCTTCTCCCTTCTCACCTCTCCCTCCCCCTCCACACAAAAATTGAAAAAAGAACGTTAAACAAAAGTTTAAATTCAAACGCTTTAGTTGGGTTGGTTGCCACAAATATTTTTCTAAAATTCTTGCCACCTGTTCTATCCACTTAACAAATTAACTTCTAAGATAGTAGAAAAAAATAATCTTCTTACTTAGGCCATTTGAAATTAAAAATTCATTTAACGTCCCCCCATTTCTGAAGTTCTCCTCTTAAATTAAACAATATAAGTATGGTTTGAAAATTTGAGGCAGTTTGGTAAACCTCGGAAAGATAGACAAACAACCAACATTAAACACAAGCTGGTTCAGATTTAGGCTAACTCGAACCTAAGTTTGGATCTTTCAAACCTCGTTTAAAATACTGTTTGTTTAATCCCCCCCTTCCCCCCCTCCTACCTCCCTCTCCCACTCTGCACAAAAACTGAAAAAAGAACTTTAACTGAAAATTTAAATTCAAACGGCCTTAGTTGGGTTGGTTGCCACAAATACTTTTCTAAAATTCTCGCTGCCCGTTCTATCTACTTAATGAATTAACTCCTAAGATACTAAATCAATATTATTAATATTATATTTGTCTTTTAATGAAATTCTCAGAGTTTTTACACAACAAATATTAATGTTATTACCTTATCTGTTATTTCATAATTCACAGAACTTATATCTTCTTATCGCCTTTGCAATTAACCTTATATCTTTAATCTGTATTCACTTTAACGATCTTATTTCAGCTTGACCTGCTAATCTAACCAGTTTTTTTTTTAAAGAAAAAATAAAATAAATAAGTTTACTAGCGGAACTTTCCTTCCTAAGAGTACTAATTTCTTCATTATTGCCTTCGAAGTTGGTCTTAAATTCTTAATCTGTTCCCAGCTTTTGTTTTAACGGTCTTGATCTACAGTTTTTTTTTAAAAAAAAGAATAAATTAAATAAATTAGAATTGAAGTAAAAGAATAAGGCAAGTTAAAGAGTTCAAGAACGGCTTAAATAATATTGTAGTTGGTTGTAGGCACACTAAATTAAGAAATGTTTAATAAATGGAACGATCTACATAATATAAAATACATTTCTTAATTTTTTTCGCCCTGCTTATAATGTACCACCCTTTCGAGCCAAAACATTTTCGAAAGTTCTCACTTCAGCGCATCTTTTGATCTACTTTTCAAGCCAAAGGCTTGCTAACTGAAGAAACATCAGAAGGTCGAAGACAAAATAGTTGTCCATCTTTGGATATGTTTCATTTAGTGCTAAAATATTTGTTTATTATATTATTTATACCATTTGATTCGTGCAAGCCTAAACAATAATTTTGTATTAGGAAGCGTCATGTGCTATGACTAAGTCTTTAACTGAAATTTTTAAAAATGTAACTTCGTTGATTTGTATAACTTACGAAAATCATATGGTAAAATTTTAAGTATGACAAATCGTGTGACTGTTATTGAACAGACTAAGGTAAGAGATATATTTCCTATTCCTTCTTTTATTTACTATGCTAACTCGCCCCTATTACTAATTACCAATACGATTCTATCTTAATGACTATATTTTTCATGTAATGATAATACTAACATTTTTATGACTACATTTTTTATGGAGCAATAATACTGATTATTAATCTAACTATATATAACAGATAATACTAATAATGAAAATACTACTATGTGCCTGATATTTTAATTATTGTATGCTAAGTTGTCTTTTGTATCACTAGTTATTATTATTTTTGGCAAAAGTAATCAGCATAACAATTCGTCACGCATATATAATTTTTATTCATATGAGAAAAAAATATTTCATATTGTCATATCTCCTAATATACCCACAATAGGTTTATCATATATTTTACTTGCAAATATGGCAAATATACAAAACTTATCTAATAACCCAATTCATACAAAAAATAAATTGTGATATTCATTAGTATATAGTTATTAAATCAAATAAGTCTAAATCCCTAAATACAATATAAATCATATAATCTCTAAAAACACTATAATATATTAAATTACTTAATCATTAAATATGGTCTATACAGATAATTGTCTAGTTTTAAATGATATCGAGTGAAAGGATAACTGCCAATTTCTAGTAATTCGTAATAAGAAACACTATCTAATTGGAAGAATCGAATCTGGAATCAATTAGTAAATTATTGAAATAATAATAAATTGACTGATTACAATAAGCGATATCTTATTGCTAGAAAGATAGAATTTACAAAAGGATTTAGTTATCATATGGTAGTTAAAGTGAATATTGCTATATGTTATAGCTGTGATCAGTTTGTTTATGTTAATAAAAGAGTAGAATATAAATTATATCACAATTATAAGATGAAGGAACATTGGTATACAAATTATACTAGAAATAGATATTGCGATATATGTTTTAAAGAGTATATAGAGCTTAAACAAAAACTAAAATTGAAAGTGATATTTATACAAGGTTAGCTATTTATTAATATAAATTACGAATAGAGAATCTTATCAATAGAGTTAAACATATTCAAGAAACAGCAAAAAATATCTGAGCTGTAAAAATTATACAACAAAAATAGATTGAGATTATGTATAAGCCCGATAGTCTCAAAGCTAAAGAATTCACTGAGTATTATAAATTATTATGGGCAGTTAGAGAAGAAATGTGTCAGGTTAGTAATGCATAATTATTATATATATCTATTTATTTATTAGATATAATTTATCTATTTATTTGATTTATTA